ATTTTGCGGATTTGATTTTTATTATACAATGTTATTCCTTCAGTGTGGAAGTCAATCGTGAATATTTGTTAAGTACGTATTTCTTTAGAAAAATTGGTACCCACCTGCGGGAGTCGAACACCGGTGCATCGCTACATACGAGTGCACCGGACGTTTTATCCTTTAGGCCACGATGACTTCTAGTATTTATTAGGGAAAGGGAAAATTGTAAGAACCATTATTTTCAAAGGTAGTTTTTTCCAAATTCCTTATGTTTTGTTCGCAGGCAACATTAACTCGCATGTCGTCTCTGTTCATTTACCTATAGACGGTACCCACCTACCTAATTCTTTGTTGCAGTTTGCCTACATTGTATAAAATACTTTAGTGGGACGGTTATCGTAAACGTTTAGTGTCTTGTTAAATATCACTGCGGCCATAAATTTGCATTTGATCTTTTGGAAAATATATTAGAAGCTAAGTAAATTGCGTGTAGCTTGATGTATTAATTTATCCTACAAGACCTTGTACTTAATAACTTGCTGTATTACCAGTTAATTAAAATAAGATAATATAGAGAACCATAGCTGATAGTCTTTCCTGGTTTAATAAGACATGATGATTTCGTCCACCTCGGGCAATCTGAACTAGTTTCCAGTATTGTTGATTTTCTTTTCTAACCCCTATTCCTACTCTAAATTGCCAATAAAAGGTGGATCGTAAAACTAGAGTTCAACAATAACCTAATGGGCTTAGGACGAAAAGACCAAATAGGTTTGGTTTGTTCACATTAAAAAAAAATAAGGCGTCAATCCGATGCCTAAACTACAAACTAATCTGTGTTGCCAAAGTTTATCTGTACCGGACATGTTAAGTGATAAAGTCGTTATGTTGCGGCGTGACCGGTGTCGGCGAAGGTACAAATGGGCGATTTGTCGGCGGACCCGTGCGGAGGCGACAATCCGCCGTAATCCGCCGACTCGCACGCTAATCGAAATATCGCCGGCTTATTGACGAGTCCACGCGAACGACCTCGCAAACCGGATACACGAATTTATTATTCATTTTTTATTATTATATTATACATTAATTCGTTTGCGAGAAGCAGAAAATATGACTTTTACGTGAATCGTAAAATATTGTAGGCTATTATGGTATAAATATACCATCGAACCCTGTTGATATGTGCTCAGATTTCGTACATATATGAAGATTGCACATTCGTATTTGTTAACTGATTCAAGTGAAACAATTACTGTTAAATGATGCTCATCTCGATTGGCTACTTAATTAGTTAGATTACACTAATTGTGTGTTTTACATTTTAAACTTATCAAGAAAAGTAACCTACTGAATATTTTTAGTAAAAAAATCGCTTACGTTTTACGCGTAATGAATTAATCAAAATGGTGGATGATACGTTAAAATAACAAGAACGTGTGCGTCGCGGTTTAAGGTCTACCGACATCTGACCCCCTCCGTCGTCCATATTCTGCTCCTCCCCACGACCCTCCCAACGCCTCCCACCTCAATTACAGTTATACGCTCGTCTCGGCGACAACGCACACATTATCTTACTCTTCAGATAATAAAGATTAATATCGCTTGACGGGTGATGTCAGGGGGATCCGGGTGGGCAGAGCCACATCCCTTTAGTACGATGTCGTCGCGTACGTAGGTACCCGGTGTCACCGCCGCTGCGATGTAGTCATAACAATTATAAATTCTTTGTATACGTAGCACGTATTTGATATTTATTATGAATAATCCATGTACACGAGTAAAAAATCGATATAGCGTAATTTCTGGAATTAAAAAAGGAAGTCATACCTACGTCCCTATTTAGTTATGTCTGAAATTTTAATATTCAAAATATATGTATGTTATGTGTTTTGTTGTATTTCATGAGTTATGAAATAGTTTTTTTTATATTTATTGCTTAGATGGTCGGATGAGCTCACGGCCCACCTGGTGTTAAGTGGTTACCGGAGCCCACAGACATCTACAACGTAAATGCCGTCACCCACGTTGAGATACGAGTTCTAAGGTCTCAGTATAGTTACAACGGTTACCCAACCCTTCAAACCGAAACGCATTACTGCTTCACGGCAGAAATAGGCAGGGTGGTGGTACCTGCCCATGCGGCGGACTCACAACACATCCTCCCACCAGTAAAAAAATTAGTACATACCATCAACGTATGACAGATGACACGCGTGCATTTTGAACAAATGGTGGCCACGATTGACTACTAAACACTAAATTAAACAAAGAAACGCATTGTATTCGTAAATACGGACTCTTATAAATATAACAGATCAAGATAATATATTTATACTAAAGTGGCACGTTGCGGATATCAACGATACGGTATGTAGGTTTTCAGATTGTCAATATTATTAAAATTTGGACAGTGGTACCAATCAGCTTAAAGATTTGACAAAATCCAAATAATCGCTAAAGGAAAGAAGTTAATTCCGCGTATGATACGCGAGGTAATTGAAATAAATAAAAATACTCTGATTTTAATACAGAAATTGGTTGAAATTTAGCCAACCGAAAATATATGTAAAATTCAAGAAATTTATAATACATGTAAAATTTGAGGGTAGTCAGCAAGCACTAAATCTAAAATTTGACGAATAATGCCTTAGTCACCTGTGACCACGAAAACTGTAATGTATTTCAAACTTCGTAAAATAAAAAACGCGTTAAAAATCGTAAAATCGGTTTAAACTGTGTCTCCAACTCACTGATACCCAAGTTTAAATCCTTCAACAAAATTTGAATGCTCCCGAAATATGATCGTATGCCTAGTTATAGTTGCGTGATTTAACATCGTAATCATAACGATATCGGATAGGTATCGATTTCGATGATAGTTACAATGATAAATCGTAACCGTGATTCGGGGCGGGTGCGATAATTCATTAGGGCGCAGGTGTGGAAATTACGGAAACGATAATGACATACGGACACGCCCGGGACTACACTTTAGTATATTAAAATAGTATGTACATACATATACGGTATGTTTTAATGGGATTTCTTTTTTGTTCCGAACTAAAATTCGGATGCATTCGACCAACGTTTCTACTCAGAAGTGTGAATTTGTTTCTCTTACTATTATATTAACCAAACCTTACTTGTGTAGTGTGGGTAAGATGTTCATTATTGAAAAAAAAACCAACTGGTTTAATTACGCAAGTACTTAATATGTTACACGGATGCTTCACCTAAACATCTCGCCAATAGTTCGCCAACTTTTCTCGACCTCTTCATGTTTGAGACTTCATAGAAACAAGGGCTCTGCTTTACGATGATAACAGAATATTTCTTTCTCAATGGCACGTAACTTGTTATCAAGACGAAGTTGTCGGTTCGTTTATTTTTAGATACTGTAGCCAACCGGATTTGAAATCACGGCAAGGTAATGTAACTGGGCCATTACGTGTTATTATTTAAAATCCAACACATCAACTAATTCACGAAAGAGTACTGCGAAAACAACACGGACGAGTCGGCGTCTTTGCCTGCAATTAACGGGAGCGGTAATAAAAATAACTAGACAGTCAAATTAATTAATTTACAGACGTTAATTATCTCATCAGGGCAGTAAAGTCATGAACATTTTGATGCCCGCGGTCGGCTTATCGGGTCGTCACATCGCGCTCGCCTCGACAACCCACCAATTAATTATCCCACAATGTTACATGTTGAGAAATCTCCGACATTGTATATCGCTAAATAGATAATAATGAACGTTGTAATGGGGAAACTAGCATACGAGTTGCACGCCCAGCTATTTTCCATTTGTAATTTTATTAATTCGAGTTTTATCTGAGTACCTAATAGGTGTCGTGAAACTGGCCAATCTTATTGAATGCTTTGATAATACAAATTTTGTTGCAGTAAAAAAAGATCATGACTTAATCTGAAATTTTAGATTTGATAAGAACTGATTTGTAGAGTGATCTTAAAAATATAAAAGAATAGATGGTAAGGAGAAAGAAAGAAGAGATAGACAGTAGCTTGATTGCTCTGGCAGTGAGCACAATACAATGACAGGGTGGTGTCAAAAGAGGATTACAGGATTTTTGTAAAGGATATGACAGTCATCAATAGTAGACAGCAGCTTGATGTTACCCTTGACATTGCTGACGTCTATGAGCGACGGTGATCACTCACCATCATTTTGGCCGTCTGTAGAGGCAATAAAAAATATTGATAAAAGTGCCTTACAACCTAGGAAATTTCGTAATAGGGACGGTATCTATAACAAGTTATTCGGTCTGTTGTATACACAATCCAATTTTATATCATCATAAATATTATTAATCGAAATTTTTATTTACATTGTAAGTGGAGCTAAGTGTAATTGGAGACTAATTTTAATGCTACTTGATAGATTAAGTCACTGACTTTAGTATGATGTTCTACTATCCGAAAACATGTAGTTTGATTTATTGCCCTTGTAGGCAAACGAGCACGGGTGGGTACCACCACCCTGTCTATTTCTGCCGTGAAGCAGTCATGCGTTTCGGTTTGAAGAGTGGGGCAGCCGTTATACTGTACCGAGATCTTAGAACTTATATCTCAAGGTGGGTGACGGCATTTACTTTGTAGGTGTCTATGGGCTCCGGTAACCAGTTAACTCTAGATGGGCCGTGAGCTCGTTCGCACATCTAAGCAAAAAAAAAATATATAAAAAATATACGGCCCACATGATGGTTAGTGGTTACAGTCACTCATAAACGTCAGTAAGACAGGAGCACGTCACCGCTGAGTACTTACATTCCGTAAAAATACTGTGGAGTTCATTCCAAAGCTAGATGGTACGTGGCAAAAAATATCTCTGGAAATGCACTGTCAATTAACGCAGCGGCTAGACAGACAGTATGGACATTATCTGCTCGGGTGGCGGGAGGTGCAATGTTAAAAATAAGATAATTGAATCATCTCAAACAATTCCTCAGAGCGCTCAAAGTTTACTTTGGTTAACAAGTATTTCGTATTCCCAGATCGTGTTAAACTCCATGCATCGATACCAGCCGAGGATCCACCTCGTCAAACTTCGAGAAGGCGGAGGACCTATTACCGATCTGGCGCGCGAACAACACCGCACCTTCGTGTTTCCAGAGACGGTGTTCACCGCCGTCACGGCCTACCAGAACCAATTGATTACCAAACTGAAGATAGACTCCAATCCTTTCGCGAAAGGCTTCAGAGACTCTTCGCGACTTACGGATTTTGATAGGTAAGTTATTTTTTAGTTTCTCGCCAATATGAGCGAACGAGATCACAGTTCACCTGGTGTTCAGTGGTCACAGGAGCTCATAGACATCAACAACGTAAATGCTGCCACCCACTTTATGAAATGAGTCCTAAGCCTCAGTTTTTCAGTATAACGGCTACTTCATCCTTCAAACCGAAACGCATTACTACTTCGCGGCAGAAATAAGCAGGGTGGTGTTACTTATCCGTGCTGGCCCACAAGACATCTTACCATCAGTTTATACATATTGTAATGTTTTCGTATTGTAAAGTTTAGGAATTCAATGACAAAAAAAAATGTATATCCCTAAGTTCTCTGCCACAAACCCATAAGACCCGTTTTAAATTTTAGGTTTTAGTCACATTTTAATCGCAAAAGAAAATGAGTTTTGTACTAGACTTCGCAAATCATATTTAAGGTTGCGCCTTTGGCAGTTTCTGAGTAAAGTTTTGTTTAGTTTTCGTCTCCTTAGTCTAGTAGTTAGTGACCGAGAGCCCACTGAGTTTCTATCCGGATCTTTTTAGTGGGTTGCGTTTCCGATCCGGCGGTAGATTCTGCGACGCACTACTCTTGCTAGTGCCAATGTTAGCAACACTTCCGGTTTGAGCCCCGTGAGCTCATCTACACGTCAAGGCGAAGCTGAAATAGCCTCTCAAGGCTATCAGCATAGCAGCAAAAAAAAGTGACTTAGTGTCAAATATTTGATACTAGGTATTCGGTGTCTGGAGTACGTATTTAAATATCGTACAAATGTACATTAGTGTTGTACCGGTTGTAGAGGACGATATTCTAATTAGCGTTAAATGCATAGTCTTTAAGACGTAAACATTTGTATGGCGACAAGTCGTAAAAACCGATAACTTAATTTCCAAAACATCTTAGCGCGCAAACCTAAATAGATTAATAAATAAAATTCGTTCATTTTATCTCCGGTTTAGTTTTATCTGCCTCGAACTGCCCGAAATTGGCAGGTTGCGGTGCTCGAGGCGATTTTGATAAATTGACAGGCTATTAGCAACAGTCGAAAGGCATTAGGTCGGCCGCCCTGCAATTTGTGCGAAGAACACATGAATAAAAGATTAAAAACGCGCCTCCAACTTCGATTGAGCCTGATACGAACCTTTGAGCAGATCTGCTGTCGAACTAGGGACGGGCCAGTCTTTATCGATACAATTACACATATTATTATCAGTAAAAATATGTTATTGATATATTTTACTCCCAAGATATGCATTAAATATCTATTAATTTCTATTAGATCTTTAGGTATTTTCTTTAAATATCTATTAGTTTTCAGTGAATGCCAATTGCCAACAAGCATTGTTGAATATCTATACTAATATTATAAAGCTGAAGAGTTTGTTCGTTTGAACGCGCTAATCTCAGGAACTACTGGTCCGATTTGAAAAATTCTTTATTTGAAAATCTTTATTACTAGAATCAACCATTTTCGAGAAATCGGTGATCATACATAGATAAAAAATTATGGTCGAATTGATAACTTCCTCTTTGGAAGTCTGTTAAAAAGCGTGATTTTTGTACCTTAAATAACTCCTTAACGTTCTATCATTCAAAAATATTTTCACTTTCTACGTAAATGAAGAGGCGGGTAAAATTTTGCGTTATGCCAAAGTAGCTATTCCACGCGGATGAAGTCGCGGACAAAATCTAGTAGAAAATAAGACGATCTTGGGATTCACTACTTTTAATATTTCTTCGTTTAATCGTAAAACTTCTTCGTTTAATATTTCTGCCGTGAAGCTATTTGAGTTGAAGGCAATGAAAGTTGGTGGAAAATGGTGGGGTGCCAGCTTTTACGTTGTGATGTCTATGAGCTTCAGTATAGTAGATGTCTCCCATAGCCTCATAACAGGCTGCAAGCTCGTCTACTTGTCTGCGGCAATATAATATAATATTATATATTGATAAACAAATATTGAATTTTAACAGGAATGTCGACTCTAATAAAATAGTGGTAAGGATAGTTGTGGCTCAAATAAATAAGTACATTAAACGACATTCTTAAAATCAACTATATTCTTCTTATTATCGTTTTACTATGTTACTACATTCGTAATGACTAACAAAGAGTTGTTAGCAAATTAGTATTATTCAAAATTCAAGATAAATTGAAAATTATATGGCAAATGGCTATATTGATAACTAGCGACCCGCCCTCGCTTCGCTTCGGAAACATTAACTTTTATTATTGATAGTTGAGTCCCGCGACGTTACGACACGGTACGACAATAGCCGCGGGTGACGGTGCGCGGCGAAGCTAGTTTAAAAAAAGTAGCCTAAGTTACTCCTTATATCATTAGCTACCTGTCAGTGAAAGTGCCGTCAAAATCGGTCCAACCGTTCCAGAGATTAGCCGGAACAAACAGACAGACAGACAAAAATTGTAAAAAATGCTATTTTGGTCTATGTACCGTATATATATTCATATGCATATAGTAAAAAGCGGCTATTTCAATATTACAAACAGACATTCCAATTTTATTTATATATACAGATGTTCGAAAAACCTTCCTTCTTGCCGACATCTCGTGTTGCTACAAACTTAATAAATTAATTATGCAATTTACCAGGAATCCTCACAATACCAAGTAAATCTATTATAACACAGTCATTGCCTGCTGATTTTACGTTCCAATGAAGGATAATTGTTTTGCATGTTAATAAACGTTGAACGGTGACGATTTGTAGAATACCTACATAAAGATTATTCTATGACTATTAGTATTAATTATAATATGATGGCTGTCATTAATAACCATATTACATTAACTCTAAAATCTTTTTTTTTCTCTATGGTCACACTAAAACACAATATTTTTATAGTACTGAAAAGATTAAACCATTATCTTACATTAAAAAATATGAAATACTTTTACGTACTTTACATTATAGATACATATAATATAATCAAAGAAATGGTACAGTATTCGGGGCACTCGATAAAGTTTTGGTATACCTACCCTGTTCTTTTACCCACTTACCAATACAATTAATTATATTTTTTTAAACTATTTATGTTCATTTAAATAAGTTATTACGAATAATATAGGAATTCGTAATTCACTTGGTAAAAAGTAAACGAGCCAAGTCAAGCAAGCTCACAGCCCCAAATAATGGTGTTATATAAAAAAAAGAATGCAAATTAATGAATTGATGGCAAATCATGCTATGTTCATGGCATCTAAAAACTAAAATTATAAATAAATATGGTTTGAAAACTACAAACACTAGAACACCGAATGAAACAAGCCAACTAAAAAAATAATTCCTTCATTTTAACGAGGTGAACCGGGTTAGGACTTTAAACCAAAGTAATATTATTATATGGTCATCGGTCTTTGATGCGTGTGCGATTTTTCAAGTCAATCGGACTTCTTGAAGTTTCCGAAAATTACGTATAAAGATTTCGTAACATAAATAGATGGAGATAATGAAGGGGTATTAAAAAAACTATTTGTAGATACTCATTTATTTTTAGCCCACAGTGAGACAACAGATAGTGCAGTTCAGTGGATCTGTAGCACGTTTGTTTGCGTGACGACAAAAGAAATAGGGGCTGTTCAAATTCCCTATAAAACTAAACCTCACATTTATACCAAAATAAAATTAACAAATTCAATAACGGGTTTTTTTTTTTTTTATTGGCTATATGGGTGGACGAAGCTCACAGCCGACCTGGTGTTAAGCGGTTACTGGAGCCAGACATCTACAACGTAAATGCGCCACCCAACTTGAGATACAAGTTTTAAGGTCTCAAGTATAGTTACAACGGCTTCCCCACTCTTGAAACCGAAACGCATTACTGCTTCACGGCAGAAATAGGCAGGGTGGTGGTACCTACCCGCGCGGACTCATAAGAGGTCCTACTACGATGTCTGTCCCTATACGATATTTTTGCGATAACCGAGTTTTGAATTTAAAGTGGTGCGACGAATCGAACCGTTTTATACGTGTTTCGTGTTAACACGTTCGCAGCGCTTGGACGAGAGCGAGAGAGGGCGTGGAAACGGTTTGTGGAAACAGCTCACGTCAACGGCGGTGCGGGCCCGCGGCGGCGGCGGCGGCGCGCGTAATCACAGGGCCCGCTCCTCATTATGTCCTAAACGACAAATTAAAGCGCATTTCTATTATCCGCCGTAGTGTGATGCACATGTACGCGCCCAAAAACCGGTTCCGCCCGCGGCGAGCGGACCGACGCTCATATATTTTCGCGCTTTTAGCGACCCGCTGAATCACCATTCCATAAACAATTATTATTAATTCGCCTATCCGAGATTAAAATCTATGGTTTCGCCACAGATAAATCATGCGGATAATTGATAGTTTGAAACGAGATAACGACGAGTAGAGTCGTTATTATGCATTCGTCAACCACCGCCTACTCAATGTTCATTGAAAATTTACATTCGATGTTTAGTCACGCAATTATATCTACATAGCGCTCGTAATCTTATAGCAAATTAATGTTAATCATCTAAAAATCATTTGTTTAGTTGAAAGCCTTTTTCAGGTACGTTTATCCGACGTTTTGATTGAATAATACAAACTCTTTCCGAATCCTTTTGAATTATCGCGCTCATCTACAGCTTCATTCCCGAGGTATTACGGTCATTTCTTTTTTTTTTCTGTCGGAAGAAGGCTGCGATGATCGACAGAATTATCGTAGCTATTAATAATGTAATCTGCGTCCACGTCAGTACCCGGCTACCGATTTCGATTAATTGATACAGCACCGGCGCGGCGGCGGCCCGATGATAGTTCACCACTCGACTGATTGACGGCTAATTCGAGATGTTATCGACGCAATTACGGGCCTTCCTCGTCGCGTCACATAAACGCTTGCTACCGGGTTAAAAATAAAATAATTCATTTACTATCGATATTTTAACTGGTGTTAGAACCTCGCGTGAGTCAGCACGGGTAGGTACCGCCCTGCCTATTTCTGCCGTGAAGCAGTAATG